TCTGACCTTGTTAGATTTAGATTTGTATAGTTTATTCCCTGTTTTTAATTAAAGTAGCAAGAATTTTGAGTAATTCTGCACATGATCAGATGTGGTGCTGCTTTGTTTACCTCCCCCTCCTGGCTGTCTTCTGATCTACGTCAGCTTATTAGTGATAAGTATTATCAAGTGTGGGGGGAGGAGGAGTCAAAAGAAGTCATCAACATGCATCAAGAAGTTTCAGAAGCAGAGTTGTAAGGCTTCAGCATAGTGATCTTGAGGTATTTCTAAAGGTACTCACATATTTGTAAATGGAATTTGTAGGTGCTGCTTAGGAAGTATTGAAATGGTTATTTCAGAATAGCTGATGAGATCAGATAAAGTTGTACCTGAACATTAACCTATGCTGCTCTCACTTGTTCCTTGTTTTCTATGAATTTTTAGAGTTCAAGTATTCTTTGCGTAATTTAAGTTTTGATATGGAAGAAGCTGATTCTCTAGGAGAGTTTTTGTAGCCACCTTGATAGCTACATTTATAGTAAAGCTAATACTATAAAGGATTGACGGTACTTGGCCTACAGGGGTTGTCTAATACATTTAGTTTTGAAATAGAGTTAGTTCATCTGTGGTATTACAGAAAGCATTTCAGGAAACGAAGAACTACTGTAGTATTTTCTGTTGGTTTGGTTTTTTTTTTTTTAAAGCCCTTATTGCTTACTCTCAAAAACCTGCTCACCTACCTATTTTGGTTAAATCCTTCTCCCCACCATCTTCCAATTTCATAAAAAGTGGCAGAATGGAAGGACAGGAAAGAAGTCACCAGCTTTCCTGCCCTGTCATTCAAAGCAGTTTCTCCAGACAATCATCTCTATTTTAGAGGCATATTTAGAGGTAGCTTACGTAGTCATCTAGAGCATTAACTACTTCAGTCCAGCTTCTACATGCCTATAAGCCTAGGAGACTTACCATTTCAAAAGTCTTGTTGGGACATGGTCCGAACTCTCTTCATTCTTCCACAGCTAGCAGTGTAGCTAAGATGGCTTGGCCTTTAGGCAGCTCCTCCTTTTTGAAGCCTCTAGCTCCTCCTGACACCATACCCTTAATGGCACTGGTGCTGCGGCTATAAGTGCTCCTCAGGAGTGGAGCAGCAGCTGTTTCGTAGCGTAGCACACCCACTCGCATGGCTGCCGGTAATCATGCCGTCTCTTGCCCAGGACAGGTCTCTAAAACAACGCCTAGCCTGGCTGTTCATCACCTGACTGCACTCATTGCCTTGATCTGGAGAGACAGGCAGCAATCGCTACAGGTGCACCTCAACCTGTGAACATTTGGCTTCGTCTCCAGTGGTCCCTTCCCGAGTCAAGCCAGCGCTCCATCATCCATTTGTTGTATTGGCCAACTTTGTCAGCTCTTCTTCTGACAGGCTGCCCTCCCTTGACTTTACAACCTTCGGGTTTTCTCTTCTTCTGACCCTCATCATCCTTGCCCCGAACCTTTCCCTGAAGGGTCTTGTCTGGCGCTGCTCTCCTTGCCCTGTCCTACTGCCTTTCTCTTGGAGCCTCTGCGCAAACAGGGCTTAAAACTGCGTCGGCACTGAGGACTCGAGGTCTGATTCCCTGTGTCAGAGCCTTTGCGCTGTTGACCTCATCGGCCTCATTTAGCTCAGTTTCTTTGGGGTCAGGGTTGTTAATTCTGTGCTGGGACCGAGCGACCTGGGGCGGGAATGGGCAGCTGCGCTCCTCTTGAACTCTCAAGCTCTTCTGTTTTTACAGCTATTTAAATAACAGTTTTAATAACCTGGTACAAGATAGTAAACAACTCCATTTGCATTCAAACGTATTTAAATTTCCTCTTCATTAAATTTATGTAGTCTGGGGTGTGTTCCGGCCATCCAAGCCATACCTTCGTTTGTAAAGATTTTCTCCTTTATGAACTACCTTGCTGTATGCGATAACAACCTCATGTTCAGTGGTGCTTTCCACCGTCTGTGGTGGCGCAACTGAAAATTACAGGCGGTGTAAGCTCTTTTCAAAAAGATTGTCATGATGGTTTAAAGCCGCAGTTATCAATGGCTCCGAGGTTGTTCAACACCGTTTTATGGGTCTTACTAAAAATGGCTTTAGTCCGACAAAACTGTATCACTTAATCTGATGTTTAGCTCGGCTATTCCGTTTAACTGTAGCAGCTCAGCAGGCTCTAAATTTGGATTTGGGGAGGTGGGGAAAGGAGGAGAGACAGCGATTTGTAAGAGAGACTGATTTTCTTGAACTACTCCGTGCTGTCAAGTTGTGAAATGCAATCCAAGGTGTTGCGCTTGTGTTTTACGATGGCTGCGACCCAAATGTAGAGTTGCTGTCAGGTCCCGAGAAGTCTCGAACCCTTCGCGATGGCTGAAGACGCGCCCGCGCTCGGTGTGGCAGTGGCCGTGGTGTTCTGCGATGCTGTCGGTCAGCAGCAGCTCCTTCAGCCAGGAGTCTCAGTCTTGTCTTTGCTGCTTTTTTTGCTCCTGGTAATCCTAAAGAGCAGAGAATCGTCCTCTGTGACATACAGCAGTGAGAAGGGAAAACCATCAAGAGCAGGAACTTTAATGAGAGGGAGAGTAGTGCCGTGGCCGGACCAGGAGCGCAGGGTGACCAGGATCCAGTGTTAAAACCTCAAATTCTTAATCGCTAATTGTTTTAGCAGACATTAACACAACCCACGGAAAAAGTATGTCATCCTCGTGTGGTAGCGAGGAGCGATACGCTGCTGGTACCAGCAAGGCTGTTAATTAGTGCGTGTGATTGAACGTGCTCTGGGGAATGCTCGTGTTTCTGTACTGAATGAGATTTCTGTCTCTAGTATACCTGCTTAATTTCTTGAAAAATTAGAACCTATTTATTAATTCAGGGAGCTGCAGGAAGAGAAAGCATCAAATGACCGAGGAAGGTAAATGTTTCCTGACAAACTGGTGTGTTCCTGTGTGGTATTGGTCTTTGTGAATTTTATAGAATTATATATAGCAATTTCAGAAGAGATGCTCTATATGTTACTTTGCCATATATGATTGCTCTAGTTGTGTAGTTACTGCAGGGAGAAGTTACTCTTTTACCTTTCTGGTGGTTATAATCCAGCCTTATCTCCTTTAATTAGCTCAGTTTGAAGAAGAAAGTGTTACACTTGGTGATTCCAGTACCCTGGGTACTCAAGTGTCTTCATTCTTTAAGGAGCTCCACCCAGCTGCTATTTATAATCTCATCCTTTTACCCACAATTCACTTTGTATAGGGGAATTTCTTCTCACTGCAGAAATCTGGTTTTGACCAGTAGTGGGAGTGGGAAAGGGTAGGAGGAGTGTGAATTAGTAGAAGAGCTGTTGTATTAAAGTAAGCGTGTAGTGCCTAAAAGCATTATTTTAATTAAAATTCATAATTAGCTGGAGGTTTTAGGGGGGTTTCTGTTGTTTATTTAATGTGTGGAATAAGCATTTTCCACTAAATTCAATAAAGAGATAATAAGTCTGGTTGATAGTCTAATTTACTAAGTTATTCCTTCTTTATTCTCTATATAATTACAATACTTTTCAGATGTATTCACTTTGTCCAGGGATATGAAAAAATTAGAAAGCCTTAAAAGACCTGGTAGGTAGGTGCGCTCATGATTTTGACCAGTACAGCTTCTTCTTTATTGAGTGGTTTTGGGCAGTATTATAGTATTGCTGTAATCTATTTTGCTTAATAATTGAATAATATTGCTTGTAATGTATTTGTAAATGTGATTTGAGCAGCATTAATTTCTCTATTTCGTATAAGTAATTTTTCATTTGTTTTTTTGTGCCTTTCTGTATGTATTGGATGTGGTAGCTTAAGATGGTGACATCTTTGCCATAAAAGCTCTTGGATATATGTGAGGCAATGCAAAAGCCTTATTCTTATTTGTGATAAATGCAATTTATATTGGAAGTCCTATGTAACTTGAAAACATGGAGCTAATGTGTAAATTAATATAGTATTGATTTCTTTATTTAAAATCTGTGTAAGCTGGTTTCCCTCTTAAACTGACTAAACCCCCGATGTATTTCTCCTGGGACAGAGGAGCTAGCTTATGGTACAGGCGGAGTTATGGCACAGGGCTTTAGTATGGAGCCAGGATTGCTTTTTATTCCGCCCCTCCTCTTTGCAGTGAAACAGTAGAAGTATGTTGAGGTACAGGAAAGCTGGAAGGAGGGGTTTTTTGAGAGGAAGGAGGTTTTTTGGAGAAGAATTCTTGCCACTTCTCTCTCACAGTCCATGATTGGGTATGGTAAAAAGAGATAAGAAACTTAAAAATGTTTCTTGTAAAGTTATCGGGAATGATGTGAAAGAGTGAGAGTAATGGAGTTAAATTTCAGGATTAAACACCTGGCTGAAGAAAGTGGTAGAAATGTCTACCTCTGGTACAATATTTTCAGATTGAAAAGAGTAGGATGAGGGTTGGATTAAAAGCTATCATTTTGCAGACCTACAAAAGTTGAGGATCTTTTTGAAACCTTAATTCTTTTCTTGGATGATGAATTGTGTGAAAAGTTGCAAATTGCAGTAAACCTGGAACGGATAGATAGTCAAGGTTATTAGCAAATGTTTTCTTTATAGTTTGTATGAGGGAGAATCCAGTGGTGGTGATCATCACTTTTTGAAGTTTCATTGCTGAAGAATCAAGAGCCTGCAGTAGGATGGATTGATTTTGAAGAACACAGTGTGACATACCCATGAAAGGTGGCAGGACACAATGTTTATGTTGGTTTACAGATTTTGTTAAATTACTGAGTGGGAGGTTAGGCTGTTGTCTGCTATTCTAGGAGCACCAGGAATCTGTGTTCTATTTTATGGCAGTCTTCACCACTCAGTGAAGTTTGTAAATGGACACAGGTTATCTTTATCAGAAGTTTTGAGAAGTATTTGGAGCGAACGTCCAATCTGAAATTTAACTGAAACGGAAATTACCTTTTAAAGAATTCTCAGTATATAATATCTTAATTAATTATTTGTCTTTTTGTCTCAACAGGAATGCCCAAGGAAAAGTACGATCCACCTGATCCACGGAGGATGTACACAATTATGTCCTCAGAGGAAGCAGCCAACGGAAAGAAATCACACTGGGCAGAGTTGGAAATAAGTGGTAAGAAACTGAGGAATGGTCCTGAGTTATGAACTTGTTGCAAGTTAAGAGTAGCCTATGTAGTATGGGCTTGGACAAGAAGTCTGGAGTGGAGTTACCTGCCTTGAAGTAAGCCAGCACACCAACGTAGCAGCTGCCAGCCTTTGGGGTGTCAAGGGGAGAGGTTGGGTTGGGGTAACGTAGAGAGCTGTAGGAGAGGTAAGCTGAGGCAGGTGCCGATTCGTAATGTGTAGGAAAGTTGGGAAGATGAGGATAGGCATGTGAGTTGTTTGTGTTTGAAGAAGATGGGGTTGGTGAGAGCATGGATTTGAGATCTGATTTGTCAAAGAGAAGAGGGTGAAGTTGGGGATGATGTATAGACATATGCTTTTGCTTTAAGTAATGTAACAACAATGTTGTATTAGTCCATGATAGTGTAGTTTCTATTGAAGCAGAAGTTTTCAGTCTAAAAGCAGTTGTAAATCTTTGCTCTGTTCTTGAGATTTAAAAAAAAAAAAAAAAAGATCCTCCAAGAACTGTGCTAGCTTTGAGATACTGTTTCACTTTTGGATTTTTTCTTGAAAATAAGATAATGCTCAGAATTCATAAACGTGAACTCCAGCTCGTGTGGGACACCAGTCTCTCTTGATTTGTAGAATAAATTCTGCTTTTGCTACACAAAGTGTGTTTGCAAGGAAATTCAATCAAGTATTTTAAGAATTTAAAAAGTATTTTTGTGATGTTGTAAATTTAGGCTGAAATTTTGCTTAAATATGGAGGTCCTTCAGGAGACTGCAAAAATTGTCACGTGGCATTTCTAAATGACTGTCCAGTAGAGAAATTTATGGAAGGAGGAATACAAATTGAGTTATTTGAATTGTGGAGTCTTTCCATCCAGATCATTGAATCTGTGTCTTGCTTCAAGTGCCACATGCCTTAACATGTGAATAGCATTCTTTACTTGAAGGTTACAGATGCAGAAACCTAGTTAAATGCTGCTTCAGGAATTGGCATTATATATCAGCATTAGGCTTGGCTCTCCACTTGGACATCTGCTGCCTCTGTGTAAGGAAACGCATTAAGTGATGGCTCTTCCCTTTCATGCCTGGTAATCTCACTATAGACTGATTCCAGCCAAGAGAGGCGCAGGTAGTGAAGAGGATGGATCAGTGATGTTGATCAGAAATCCTTTCAGCTACAAGGGTTTCTTTGATCACAGTCACCTGTTTGCATTGGGGGGCGGAGGAAGAGGTGTTAGTTCAGTTTTAAAAATGCAAAGAACTATTGATTTGTGTTTAAAACCTTTCAAAAGATTTCTTAATGAGCATTACAGTAGCATGAATCCTTTCAGAACTGTATGCATTTCCCTTGCAAAACAAAATGTGACAATGTTTTTCTTTTATTACTATTCACAGTGTCTTTTTCTTGTGAAATAATTGGTCATCTAATACAGAAAGCCACAGATGTTTTAACTGCTCTCATTTAAATCACTGAGCTTTTTCACTGCAGGCTTTTTTATGCCACTCACTTTCTTACAGTTCACTGGAAATGATACCTGTATTAAACATTTTGTTATCAGGGACTGAGTTCCAGGTAGACATGTATCAGTGTAGCTTTCCCCAGGCACTAAATATGACTTCTTTTATTTTGAAGAAAATCATTTAAGGAAAGGAATTGCAATGTGTGTATTGGTATAATTGGTATAATATTAATCAGACCGTTCTTAATATTGGTGAGTCATGGTGGGGTTTTTAAAGGCTGTCACAAGTACCTTTTTGCCTTGGACAAGCTGGTGCTGGTACTCTTCTTCTAATGCTTTTGGTGCAGTGAGATGACTTCTGTAAATGAAAAAGGATCTGATCCTGGGGGGAAAAAAAAACTTGGAGAGAAGAAATTCTGATGATATCTCGCATTCTTCGCATGCGGCAATATAAAAATCTTGATTCTGTCACACAAATCTATGTTTCCACCCTTCAGTTTATACAAAAAATCATACCGTTTTTTTAAATATCTGGCAATACTTTATGTAGCTTTTAGTGCAATGCCAGATGGAAATCCATGTTCTCAACTAAGCATTTTAGTCACCCTAAATATAGTGCTTCTATCTGTTCTTGGCTGGATTAATGCCACAGAATATAGATTTTTGGTTTGAAAGATGTTGCTCAGAAATAAGAGGCAAACTGAAGAAGCTTCTTCCATCCCAAATACAAACTGTAATTGAAAAAAATCTGTTTCTTACACCTATGTTAATTATTGAATTCATGGTCAGTTAGTAAATATGTCTTGTTTTGTATGGAACTTGAGAAAGACAGGTATTTAAGCCTTACATATGGATTAGAGAAAAACAATCTAAGTATCCCTGGCAACACCTTACATTCTGTTATGCATTGCTTAGTTTTATTGATCTATAGAAGCAGCGATTAATGGAATTTTCATTGAATAAAATAAAGTAATAATAACAAAAACCACAACAAAACCCCAAACAAAACTCCCCCTTTTTTTCCCCCCCGCCCCATACATACTTGCAAAAGGTGTAATTATTGCTAAACGTATATATTTTATATATTCTATTTTCTTTTGTACCTTCCTTCCGCAGGGAAAGTGAGAAGCTTAAGTTCGTCATTGTGGACGCTGACCCATTTGACAGCTTTGCATCTCAGTGACAATTCCTTATCCCGTATTCCTTCAGACATTGCCAAGCTTCACAATCTGGTATATCTGGACCTGTCCTCTAATAAAATTCGCAGTTTACCAGCAGAGCTCGGAAACATGGTGTCACTCAGGTATGTAAATTTTAACAGGAGTTAAAATTGTTCTCTTCTTATCTTTGTAGCAACAGTTTACATTTCAGCATAATTTTTACATTCTAGTAAGTGAAAAGCATACATAAATTCCCCCTTCCTCGCTTCTTTGTAATTTCATTCCTGTGCAAACTGGGGAGGAGAAGAAAAATGTTCTAAACACACCTTCCTCCCCCACCTCCCCACCCCTCAATTTTGCAGTGCCAAGCTGTGCAAAGTTTGCATGGCATGATATCTCCTTTTGGAAGTGAAACGTGAATAGTGATGCCTATTCAGATTATGATTAAGGCTGCAGCATGTCATGTTGTAAAAACACTGTTATGTAAATATATAAATGATTTATGTAAGAGTAACTATTTACAGGCAGTGTTCTTTTGCCCTTGACCCAAAGGAAGAGCCTTATCATAGGTTTATTAGACATTCACCAGTAATTGCCTTCATTGCTTTTAATTTTGAAGACATTTATGGACAGCTTTCTCAAATCGAGAATCTCAACGCTGAGTCTAAAAGTAATGAGAATGTTATTAGAAGTAAAGAAGGAGACAATAGAGAAATGGACTGCCAGCACAGCTTTAATGAAACTGGAAGCAAAGCAAGTTTGCGCATAGAAATATCAGTCATTGCATTTTCTTCTGCATTAGAAAAGTCCACGCTGTTGGGGAGGATTAAACTAGCTGATTAAATTGGTACTAAAAGCTCAAATTCCAAAGCAGTTAAAGTCTCAACCTTGGAGGCTGAGCAAAGCGGCATTGCTTTTTAGAGCATAATTGGCAGCTCTGTTTCGTAGTTGTTGTATAGTTGTTTTCAGCTGTGAAGCAGTCTGTTCTAAAGAAAGCTTTGCATTACTATTTCAATTAAAAGCAGTTGTTATTATTAACAGGGTTCTTCCCTCCTTTATCCCCTCCTCAGGTATTATGATCTAGCAATCCTAAATTGACTGGAGTATTCTCAAATTCGTCTTTGTACTTCATTAGCATCCTTTTATTTTCATCAGTCCTTTTCCTTTTAAAAACATTGCTGTATACATAATACTCGTGACATGGAGTTAGCTTAGCACTGTAGTTATCAGTAGTGTCAAAAGATATTATGCCTTCTTGCCAACACTTTTCCCAATTTATTCTGGCTGATTCTATGAAGCTTCAGCTCTTCCAAGCCCTAAGTCTCTTCCGAGTAGACAAGGCTAAATCTTGTGAATGTGAAATGTGTAGCTGAGGTCTAGGATCACACTAGTTTTCTATTTGTGACCTAAACATAACACTTGAATCCAGATCTCTAGACGTGAAAAGCTAGTGCATTAATCCACTGCGCTCTCTGTCCTCAGTAACTGCAGCTGATCCGTGATTTCTTTTCACTGGGGTGAAAGTGAAGAAAAACCTAGAAGTGCATCCTACACGATGGCACTCTGCAGGTCTCGGCTGTGCTGGAATTTCATGTTTCAGGCTGGCTCTTGCAGCAGACACTTCCCATAGCTTCTGGGAAGTCGTTCAAACTAACGGCAGTTCGACACTGGGCATTGCTGATATCCTGAGCCACAGGAATCATTTGTGCTCTCACACTTGAGAATTGATACCAGGTCTTCCAGCTCCCGCATCTAGAGCTCTGGGTTTGGTCTGTATGGCAAAGCTCTCCTAAGGCTCCTTGCATCTCCCTTTTTGCTGCAGGTTCGTGAAGAAAGAGGTGTCAGAGAGAGCAGTAAGATTTCTGATCTTTGCGGAAAGAGGAGAAAAAATAAACACTGTAAGATGTTATCTTGGAAAGCTCAGCTGTAAAACAGATTCTCTTGATATGCTTGAAAGAACTAGTGGGATTGCTATGATCCTCTTTGCTGTGTAGAGGGGGCGGGTTCTGCGGAGGCAAGGATCATTAGAGAAAAATTCAAGAGAGAAAGTGTAATGATACCTACTACTGTGCCATTCTTCCAGCTCGGTGCTTTTCCTCTAGAAGAATGTAGTACATCTTTTGTAATTCATACATAACTTTTTTTAGACTTCAGCAGTGCTTTGAAAAACTCTTAGAGGGAAAGTAGCTTCCTAGAGAATAAACTAGAAGCTTTGTAATGTCATATGGAATATCATCCCTAAAAATAATAGCCATTTACATCTCAAATGTCTATGGAAGTGCTGAGAACCAGTGGAGATGTTGTTGGTTTGGTTTGTTTTGTTTTTTTTTTAACCTCCCCCCATCCTCTTTTCTACCTGCCATGTAGAACTTATTTAGTTCGTTCATACTTAGAAACCCTAGAATGACACAGTGGGCTTCCGAGTTTCTCTCTAAAATATGTGCTTTTGTTTATGGGATTTTATATTGAAAAAACAAAACAGTTGGCTAGGTGTGTTACTGTCTGGGAATCAGTTGAGTAATGACTTGACATTTCTAGATAAATTTCTAGATATTTCTAGTGAAATAAAAAGAAAGTCCCCTCCCGTATCTACTTCCACTACTCCACACCCCCGAGTGTCTCTAAAACAAGCCACTTCGTTTTTACCAAGGTTTCTAAATACGCAGTGAAATGGAGAGAATTTCTCAGAAGTCTTTGTTAGGGAAGGACCAGGCAGAGTTTACTCTTGAAATGCAAGGCTAAAAGAAGAGTTGTGTCCCTTTGCTTCAACTGCTGTCTTGTAGAAATCTAGAAGAGCTAAGGTAACTCTTGGCATCCAGAGTTAGGTTTCCTTCCTTTTTTTCCCTTTTTTTCTTTTTCCCTTTTTTGTTGCCCCAAAATACTTTTCAAGTCTCTAGGCACCAAGTTGTAAATACTTTGAAGTAGCCACTTTATATTGAATATGGAGAGGAAAGTCTTCACTGCTTAGATGGGAATGCATTTAAGAAAGTGAAAAGCTTTTAAAAAGTCCCTATTCACTGCCCAGTTTGTTGGGATATCAGAATTCGGGACATGAGTTCTGTTCCTGTCTGCATATTGCTTTTGTAAGTTAAAAAGCATGTATTTTGCCTTAACACTGAAATTATGGGAAAAAAACTCAAACCAGCAGAAAATTACTATTGTAAATGACTATTACACGGTAATGTCATAGCTCTAATTGTACTGCCATGATCATAGATTTTTTGCTTATTTGTTTTCTGGGATATAATTTCCCTTTATTTGGCCTTTAATCATAGCCAAACTGTTTCATGGTCTGGTTTGTCAGAGCTGTTACTGCTTCATCACTTTGTAGTTATTAAAGTATTTAATTATTGTTAATGTTTACAAAATCTCTGACTTGTTAAGATGAACTCACCAAACAGCTACTTTCCTCTGTACTTCAGCATAATACGTATTTTGTCTATGTGTGTGTATTTGAGTACGGCAGGATTTCCCTAACTATTGCTGTTTAAGTCTTGGAGTTTTTCAGTATTGTGGTTTGCTGGTATATGGTTTCTCTTTTAGTTAAACTTCTTGTACTATACTGCTGAAGACAAATGTTGGTCTGTTTTCGGCCCTATATGATTCTTGCTCTGTCTACAGGGAACTACATTTAAATAACAACCTGTTACGAGTTTTACCTTTTGAGCTGGGAAAACTGTTCCAGTTACAGACTTTGGGTCTGAAAGGTATTACTACTTTTTCTTGGTATCCGTGCTTTGTTTAATGATATCGCTTCTGAGATGTAATGGCTGTAGACTGCTAGTTCATAAAGTGTTACTGAATAGCAATCCCAGATGTAGTTACTTACTCCACATTTATAATATTGTTATTTAGGGATTATTTTAAAAAAGGAAAAGAACAAGTTTGGCAAAGCACTCCACATATAAAGAGGTTTGCTTCTCTTTCTGCAGAGTGAGTGGAAGCTTTCTGTTGCTTGCATAGGGGTTGAATACAGTGCTGCTTTAACTAAGAAATAGTCTGCAGTTAACTGTAGGTGTTCAACTCCGACCAAAAAGGGAACATGCTTTGTACTGCTGTAGGGTACTGTACTGTTTATGCAAGCAGCAATTTAAACCTTTTTCCAATTTTTTTTTTTTCTGAACTGTATGGATTCTAGCTGTAAAATTGCTGACCTCGGGGGAACTTGTATCACAAAATCAGGAGCACCGAGTGATGCAATACCTCTAAACACTATTAAGTCTCAGAAGTCTGGTTTTCTCCCCCTTAAACCTGGATAATTGCAGTGTGCATTGTCCGTGAAAACTTTTACAATCCGCTTATGCGTTTGGCAGATGGTAGACTCTCTACTGAGACATGACTGGCAAATAAACTGATGGTGGATGTTTCGCTCACGTCGAGCGAAGCGAGCAGAGGTGGCTCCTGTGTTTGGCCTCATCAGCTCTGCCTGCATGTTGTACCACGCCAGTTCTTCACTGCTGTCCCATCTGACAGCCGCCCCTGGGGTGGTCAGTCGGAAGGCAGACGCAGGGGGGAATGTGGTTGGCTTCACTGGAGCTATTCGCACATCTAGTGTTTGGTGGGACTGAAGACCTGAGACTTGAAACCTCTGAGTAGTTCGTAGTAGATGCAGTATCTCTTCTCAGAGGTGCCAGCTTTCAACACTGATACATAAGTCCATAATGGTTTTATTTTATTCAGTATTTCTGTAAATGTGTTTGCAGGAAATCCACTTACACAGGATATTCTGAACCTTTATCAGGAACCAGATGGGACGCGAAGGCTACTGAACTATTTGCTTGATAATTTGGCAGGTACTGCAAAAAGAAGTAAGTGATCATTCTTAAAACATTTCTTTCTGCTGTGTAAAATAAATGGGATTATCACTTGTTGTATTTCTAAAATGTTCCCATAGTTTCAACAGAACAACCACCTCCAAGATCTTGGATCATGTTGCAAGAACCAGACCGTACTAGACCAACAGGTACTGTAACACTTCTCCTTTTCCCAACCCCCCCCCCCCCCCCCCCCCCCCCAGTTATGAAAGCTGTGGATCTTTACTATCTGTTTAAAATTTTTTGGTGCTTAAATTAACCGATCATCTGTGCAGTGCTGGCCAGCCAGCTGAAGTAGTTCTATCTCAATTGGAACACGTGTTCCAGATTTGCCCATCTTTTACTATAAAGTAATTTCTTTTTAATTAACATCTTCCTCACAGGAATTGAAACTGTTGTCCAAAATTGGTTAAATAGTTGAATTATTACAGGCTTAATACAACATTTGCTGAAGAATAATAAAATGGAAGAACATGAGCACGATTTCTCAAAAATGTAGAATTTTTTTCTTTTAAGTAACCAATGTATCATCTTTGAGCACTTTTCTTGCTGTTGGGATTCAAGTCATTACTAATTTTTTTCTGCATGAATTGTCTAAAATATAGCCTTTTCTGTTTACCTGTGCACCAAAAATCTTAGTGTATTTCTCAATTATTGTGGTGTCCTCTCTTTCAGGACTGATGGACATTACTTTCCCCTATTTTATTAAGGCAGTTGCTTCAAAGATCATTATGTTAATGCAGCTTGTCTTTTGCTGTCCCCTATTTATTTTCCGAATGCTGGGCTTTGACCCCCAATCAGCCCGAGATTGTTGCCTCAATTTGCTGATCTTCAAACAGCTCTCTTGGGGGTTTTTTTCCTGAGTTGTACTCCACATTTGAGAGGAGCCCCCAATAAGCTTCCAAGTATCTCATTATTGTACTGCAAATTCCTTAGTGCTTTTTAAAAACAAACAAAAAACCCCTACAAAACAAAACCAGAAATCCATGCTGCTGGATTACCTGCCATGTTGCCCCAAACTGTCTCACTATCACTCCTGTTCCAAATGAATACAGAGAGCAGATGTTTCTTGTCTTTACACTGGAATTGTAAGCTTTTTGAGGTGGAAACATTTGGGGTTTTATTTTGCCTATACTTTTTCATTGTGCAAAGGGATCCTTACCCTGCCTATGGATCTGTTACAGTTTGTGATGGTAATAATTAAGGTAGATTTTAAATAATCTATTTGAAGATTGCAAATCTTTGTATAGCTAGCAAATGTAAGTGTTCAAATACACTAACCTTGTTTTAGGCTTGTCACAGTAGAGCACCACTTAGCATAAAGTACATTTGTCTGCTATTTACTGCATTAACCATAGAAAGAGGGGGTTTGGGTTTTGTTTTCTAGTAAATGCTAGAAGACAGCTGCCATAAGTCCAAACTTAATTTATCTTCTTAGACGGACTGACAATTTTTTTTTACTATAGATAGATGTGCTGTGTTTTGGTTGAAGCAAGTGAAGCATGAATTGATAAATTTGCCCAAGACAGAAGCGAAGAACATAATTGTATATACGTATTTGTTTTATTGTTAAATATATCGGTGTGTAAGTAAAATTATTGTTCTGCAGCCTTGTTTTCTGTCATGTGTTACAACGTACTCTGTGATAAATATGCTACCCGGCAGCTCTATGGCTATTGTCCTTCTTGGGCATTGAACTGGGAATACAGAAAAAAAGCCATTATGCAGGAAATCCTGAGCTGCAATGCTGACATCATAAGTCTTCAGGTAAAAGATATACTATTATTTCTTTTCCTTTTCTAGTCCCGTGTGCTGGTTTCTCTATATTAAATGTATTTACAGTAAACGGTCTGTTTTCAAAACTGTCTGAAAACAAAAGAAAAAAAAGAAGTGGTGTTTAGAACATTATTTGTTGCTTGACATCAAAAGAATGCTTTTCAGCCCACGCAGTTGGAATGTGAACCAGCAGCTGCTGATCAAAGAAATGTACGTGGGGGTGTCTTTGTGCCTGCGTGTGTATGTGGGGCTATAATTGACACATTTTGAAATAAAAGGCTTGAGATAATCATAACTCTGGGGATTATAGAAATTCATTTATATTTTCTTAAAATAGGGATATTGCTCTCAAATTTGCATTCTCTGATGTACTTAATTCTTAGAATTTTTTTCCCTTAAATCTAATTTGAAAGTGATTTACACTTCTGAAGAGTCTAAATAATATCAGTCTTCTGTATTTTGATAATAATACATTCATGCTGTGCTGTTTTATAACTTTATAGGAGGTTGAAACGGAACAGTACTACAGTTTTTTCCTGGTAGAATTGAAAGAACGTGGCTACAATGGATTCTTCAGTCCAAAATCTAGAGCTAGGACAATGTCAGAACAGGAAAGAAAACATGTTGATGGTTGTGCAATATTTTTCAAAACAGAAAAGTAAGTGATGTGTTTTGCAAAGCCTTCTGTTGTGTCTTGCTCTCTTTCACATAATTTCTCAGGTCAGTCTCGAGCTCGAACAGTTTGGTATTAGTCGCCCTCTTTGTAGCCGTTCAGTGTTTCTTAGAGAGCATTCCTATCATTAGAAAGAGTGGTCCGTACAAGATAAATCATTCTGTGCGTAACTAGCAATAGAAAATTTTACCCTGAAGTCTTGTTTAAGTTGAAATTTCATTCTGTTAGAGCAATGCAGGTTAGGAGTTCACTAAATTATACTTCAATTGTTGAGTGTGTGTGCCCAACCATTAGTTGTTAATAATGAAAAATGAAGGAAATGTCTTATTTTCTTGCTTTTTTGAGTAAAGGAATTGATAATCCCCAAAATTGCTGAAATAAGACCTCAGGTGGCATTGACTTTTTGATACATTAGCCTTCTGGTAAAGCAAAAGACAAGGCACTTAATAGCACTGTTCGCTTCTGGAAAAAAGCCATTATTTAAGAGCTGCAGCACTTACTGATTGTGTCATATTGTACAACTGTTTGGATATGAGGGTAATAATTTCCCTTCCTCTTCCTGCTTCCATTCCTTTGTGTCCACAAGTAAAGGTAGATGCCAGGTTTGATACCATTTGCCTTGGGAAAACTTTAGTTTCTCTCTATTAAACCTGCATCTTGGAACTAGAAACTGGTACAGAATTAGAAACAAACACTCCTTTTCTATAGCGTGTGTTTCTCCCTCTCCTCTTCCCCCTTCTCTTTTTAACTGAAACTAAGTTAGTATAAAATATCTAAAAATTGCTAGGAAAATTATCCTTTGAGTTCAGCTTAGGATTTTATGAAATTATGTGATTGGCTGAGATTTTCACATCATGAATGTGTTTGAGCTTTAATTAAAAGGAGAGTTAGCTATAACATTTACTTTTGTATCTGGCTGCTGAAAAAAACATATATAATGTTTCTCTTTCAGATTTACTTTGGTTCAAAAACATACTGTTGAGTTCAATCAACTAGCTATGGCAAACTCGGAAGGTTCGGAAGCTATGCTGAACAGAGTTATGACAAAAGATAACATTGGAGTTGCTGTATTATTAGAACTGCGAAAGGAATTGATAGAAATGTCATGTAAGTCCTATTTAGTTTAATTTTGTAATAGATTGTATTTTGTAAGTGGAAAAAATTGACTTTTGTTATAGTAAACCAGAGAAACTAGGTTCTACAGATGAGTATAACTTTACACATTGTATGCTCAGACAAATTCATTTCCAAAGAAGATTTGGGGAAAAGTCATGTTGCTTAAATGATGGTTTGGGGTTTTTTCCCTGCTTATACCTTTTTGCTTAAAAAATACAAAAACTTGAGTTTGAGTGGTGTGTGGGTTTGGTTTTTTTTTTCTTGGAGTTATGGACAGGTATCAAAGAGTTAGTTGGTGTTAGTCGCGTGTTTCTGGGTTGTGTATCTGCATCATTTTAGCTTGTTATTTTCTTCACTGTCATGCTTACACAACCTGCTTGTTCTGCCCTGTCATTCTTAATTTAGGAAATGTAAATTGGCTTTATAAGTATCACAGTGGGTACCTACTCAACCTGTGTTATGTTTATTCAAATGATATTTTTATTAATTCAGATTCTAACAAACAAGCCTTTTAAGAAGCACTTCTAGCAAGAGGGGTAACTTACAAAGTGGATAACTTAAAATTCAGAGCTCATTGCCCAAGAAGATAGGAGCAATGCGTGTTTACCATCACAACCTGAGGAAAACTGTTCTAATTTTTTAGAGCTACACTATTTGCCTGTCGTTAGGATTATCTGTTATTTATGGTAATTCACAGTATTCTTAAATATGTAAGCGTTACCTGGAATAGGATAAGGTCTGTCTGTTAATGGTCTTGAATGTGAAACACAATTATTCCTAATGCTTTATATCAACTAAAACACTTAGTAGATGTAAGAGGAGTTGTATGACCCTTTTAAACTAAATAGTATATTAACCCTCTTCAAGTTATACTGGTATTTTATTCTATTTTTTCCTCCCCTCAACCATCTTGTTTAAAATTCAATCACACTGTTTTTTGTTGCTGACCATGTAAGGTAAATAATTGATTTTAAATTTTAGCTGGAAAGCCACATCTTGGGATGGAAAAGCAGCTAGTTCTTGTAGCTAATGCACATATGCATTGGGACCCAGATTATTCTGATGTGAAGCTGGTTCAGACTATGATGTTCCTGTCCGAGGTAAAGAACATTATTGATAAAGCTTCTCGTAGTCTCAAACCTGGTGTTTCGGGAGAACTTGGAACCATTCCACTTGTACTGTGTGCAGATCTCAATTCTCTACCAGACTCTGGTAAGAGTTCTTTTTTTTTTTTTTTTTTTTTGACTGTTTCAAGTATGTAACAATTTAAGGTCTCACTTTTTTAAAGCAGTTTTCAACTTACCGAATATTTTGTTTGGTAACATAAGCTCTAAAGGTACTAAGAAAATAGAAGGAAGAGAGAAAAGATAGAACTGCTTCTTCTGTGAGTGACCTTATTGCCTATGCAGTGTTATAGCTATATCTGGTCTTTCAGAAGCATTTCCATTATTATCTTACAATACAGGCATGGAAAGGAAGAAAATATCTTTCAAAAATAACTTGGCGGTTTGGCTTTGCAGTCTCTTTAAAGTTAACTTTATCTGAAGTAGTGTTACAAAGTTGTTTTTTTTGCAGCATTTTAGCTGAAGAACAATGAAAGCCAAGACTTGAGCATAGAGATGAGGAGAGGAGGAAGCTGCCTACCTAGCACCTACAGAATATTACTTGCACTTTTTTTTTCTGCTGATAGATGATGGAAAGTGGCTTTTTTTTCTTCTCCCCCCCCCCCCCCCCCCCCCCCCCCCAAGTCAGTCTGTTCCTAATTAACCTTCTAGTTTTTTCTACTCAAAGCATGTGTCTCTTTGGTTTAGGTGACATCTGCTCTTGACATATTTTATAAGAACTACTGCTGACTGTATTGTATTAAGGTTTTGCTTTTATAATGCGTAAGGTATGACTTAAAGTAATCTACACATGCTTATTTGCTGAATGCTTGTTAATACCTTCTTGTGTGTATGTGTCTCTCCTAATAGGTGTTGTTGAGTACTTGAGCACTGGTGGAGTGGAAACAAACCACAAAGATTTTAAGGAACTGAGATACAATGAAAGTCTTACTAACTTCAGCTGTAATGGGAAAAATGGAACAACAAATGGAAGAATTACACATGGTTTCAAGTTGAAGAGTGCCTATGAGAACGGTCTAATGCCTTACACAAATTACACATTTGATTTCAAGGTAAGGGCTAGGCTGATATTTTGGAAAAGTTTTCCATTTTGAAGTTTAACTGATGTGATTTGCTGTATGAAATTGTTTAACAAAGAAGTTAGCGAACTAGAGCGCCCAACACTTCGGTCTCCTAGAAACTGAATTTTCCTTTTTCTTGTTAGTAACTTGTAATAGATTTACAGGAGTTTGGGTGCTGTTAACCTTCCCTGTAAATAGGAAGATTCTGTATTTCAATACTCCAAGCTAAATGAAATAGTACAACAGGGGCACTTAAGCTGTCAGCTGCAAGGAAGAATGCATGTTGCTACTGGAAAACTCTTAGTGCTCCGTTGCCCAGGGGAAGCAAAGATGGCTCTCTTCCTCCCCATAGGAATGTGATTTGAAGCTTTGTAGGAGGTTGGAAAGTACAACCCACAGAAGCAGAGCAGATACTTCTTTTGTTTTCCTAATCTATATTGAGCAACCCATGGGTTATAGGAAGCAGAAGCCTCCTAAGTCGGTGATGTGCTGTGGAGAAGGAATAGCATTTCAGTTACTTGTAATACTGAGCTCCCCTTTTGTTTGGAACAATACCTTGAGTCAAGAATATGTACTAATAATCGATTGTATTTCTTGTCTTGTTTTAGGGTATTATTGACTACATCTTCTACTCTAAACCTCAGCTAAACATACTTGGCATTCTTGGACCTTTGGATCATCATTGGTTAATAGAGAACAATATAAGTGGTTGTCCACATCCACTCATCCCTTCTGACCACTTCTCACTTTTTGCACAACTGGAGCTTTTGCTGCCTTTCCTGCCTCCTGTAAATGGAATCCATCTCCCTGGCAGGAGGTAGTCAAGTACATTTTAGAGGGCAACCTCAATCTTAACTTGTACAATTGTAAAATCTGAATATAGAGGAGTGAGGTATGGCCAACAGGGATTTTTTTTCTTAATAATCTTAATCTTAAATCTAATTATTTGCTAAAGACATAGTAAAAGCCAGGTGCTATCAACAGACACAATTCTGAGCCCAATATACTTTGTATACTGTTAGACAGTGATTGGTGCATTTGCACCTTTCTTTAATACGTTACAATTAACCTTCCTGTTTCTTTTATCCAACGTGACATTTTCATGCCTTGAAATAGGGAATTGTTATACAGTATATTCTCTTTGCACAGTTATCTGTAGCACTACTTTTTGAGGCCAGTAGGAACATCCACAGAACATTCTTCCATACTTCACTCCCTCCTTTTTCAGAATTGTTTGTAAAATATAGAATTTGAATTTAGCCTTTATTGATTGTATATGAACAACAGAAAACCTGATTTATGAGATTTTGTACTTTAAAAAAAGAAAAATCAGATTTGGAAAATGATTGTATTGTAAACTAAGGCTAAATTTTTATCTGTTTTCATGTGTTATAAAGGCCAGCTTGTAAAAGAGGTTGTCACAGGTTTTCTCTGCTAATGATTTGCACTGTTAGGGTTTCGTTAGCCCTTTTGTACTACTTTTTATGTTCAATTGAGAACGTTGCTTTTAAAATCCAAACCTGTAAAATCTTAATATCTTACAGAGATAACTAAATACATTCTGTCTATTTCTGATTTAAAAAAAAAAAGAGAGAAAAGCATAGAGTTCTCACAGAACAGATAAGCTAAGCAGTGAATATAAGTAGACCTGTATGGATTGAAAGTTTTTGCTGATGTGTATACACTCAGATACTTTTCTCATCTCTAACTTTTGAAGTGAAATTTAGGGATACTTGTGTACAGCTTCTTCATTTCTGTTTTAAATACTTGTCCTATCTCCACTGTGCCTGCTTAAATTTGTTCTCAACTAGCACTGCCTGTGCATGCAGAGAGATCCTGTGCATCCTCTTTTATTTTTTTAAATAATGTTAACACTTGTGAAAATTTTATGAAGATACTTTTGTATAAGCTGTGGCATCTTTTTTCCTTTGTGAAGCATTGAATATCACACTTTTTGAACATGTTCAGGTTATGGGTACACAGTTTCTAGCTTCTAATACCCATGCACTGCTTCTTTCAGTGTCATTGCACAGTGCCGTTTTTCCCACTAAGAATTACTCTCATGTGAATTCTCTTTCGTTTAAGTGTGTTCCTCAGTTTCAGAAAGTATAATTCCTTGAAGAAAAAACCCCAACCCTACATTACCTATTGTTGAAGCAGTGTAAGATAAACGCATTTTCAATACAGGTCCCAAAGACAATTCTTCAGATCATTTTTTTTTTTTTTTAAGTGACCAAGTCTTATTTTAAAGTGTCAAGCAAGACTAAAGTTATAGTGTACCCTCAGTGCCATTTGTGTCATGAAGCCAAGTATATAACAGCTTACAAATTTAACTTGTCTATTTGTATCCTAAAAGGGAGAATTTATCAATTTATCATCTCCTTAAACTAATACAACTTGAATAATCAATGTTTAAAAAAAAAATTTTAAAAAAGGAGATAGAGAGCTTGGTCTTAAACAGCTTTTGTTTCAGCTGCGGGCAGGGAAGCAAAAGGACACTGAGCATTAAGAGAAAACTTTCTAAATATTGTGAATTTTTATATATAAGAGAGTGGATTGGTAATAATGATTCAAAATTTTATTGAAAAGTAGTCAGCACATAAGTGTGCTCAAACCGTTCTGTTTTAAGCTGAAAGTAAAAACTACAAACAGTTCGGATATGTAAAATGTACCTTTTAAAATTTCAATAGGAGAAATTTGGATCTTGAATCCTTGTCTGGGACCTGATCTCTTGGGGTTATTTTGTTTTGGTTTTAGTTGTGAAAACACCAAACATGTCCAGTTTATAATCAGTACATTGAAATGCTGGTAGTATTGCTGTAGTAGATTTAATGCGTAGTGTTATTTTTTTTCTGTTTGTTTTTTTGGGTTTTTTTGTAAAGTGTGAATAAAAGGTGTTTTACTCATGTTTCCTTAATGATGTCTTGGTAATGTACATCATGACAATTTCTAGTGATGATGAGCCAATTTAGCTTGTCAAACTGAGCAAACTATTTTTCTTTTCTGATTATCTGGATTGTGTAATGAGTCCAGAAAGCTTTACAGAAGGGGAAGGGAAGCACTTACTCATTTTGTATTTCTTTGAGGGGGGATAATTTACTTTAATAGATGCTGGAGCTTGAGTGCACTTGTTAGATTCTAAAGGTTTGAGCTTTATCCAATATGTGTTCTCCTGTATTGCTTAGTCTTAAAAAACATTTGAATTTATGACAGCATGTTAAAATACGGCCCCTTGTGCTTTTGGAGACACAACTGTTACTGCTTAGTCACCTTACAGTCTAAGGGTCCATTGAAATAACTGTTTCCTCCAGCTTTTATACTAATCCATCAGGTCCCAATCGAAAACCCACTGAAGACCTTGAAGACACTCCTTTGACTTCACTGGGTTTTAACTGGACTGCAGCTGTGACTCGGGGGCTGAAGGAAGGAGAAATACTTTGAATATAGGGAAAGGCCAGATGGTACCAAAACAGAACTGAGAGAAACTTTGTCAAACAATCTTTCGAAGAAAATATATTCGTGTGTCAAACAAATCTAACTCAAAAGGCTCAATTTCCAGCTATAACATAGAATAAGGCAATAAACCGTGTCTTCACAAAATCAGAATGTTTGCTTCACAGTTTTTAACATAAAAATGGTTATTTGCAATACTTTTATTCAAGGTGGTTTTGGGTGTTGCCATAACGTACCTTCAGTGTTCTTGTTGTAAAAGCACATATAGCAAAAGTCACAGAACATCCTTGGGGTTGAAAGGATTTATTTAGGTTAGACCAGGCTTTTTTCCACTTCCAGTACAGTCAGCCATATCTTGTCTAGTTTCATTTACATTTACCAAGAATTCTGGGTGTCAAAGTGTAAATTGAAATACACCTTTAACTGAAAGAATTGATTAGAGTACAAGACTAATACCACAAGTTACTGCTTTTAACATAACACAAGTAGGGGGGAAAAGAGCATATAAGTTGGTGTGTGTTGTAATTATTTTGTCCTTTTAACAGCTCTAAAAAGAAAAAAAAAAAGGTAAATTTGGCTAGCATTTGACAAAACTGACTTTAAAATATTGTATCTATGCATCTTTGATGTGACTTCAGCAAATCTCTCAAGCTTTTTTTTTTGGAGCAGACTTAGAAAATAGCTTATGGTTTGCTTTTTCAACCACACAAAACCTGTATGAAAGACAAAGTAATTACACCACCATTGGGGGGAAAAAAAAAAACCTAATTACACTGTAAAACTTAAAAATTCAGTTAACCGCTTAAGTAGCAAGCCTTTTTCATCCAGCCAGACACAGTATTTTTTAGTATGTTAACTGCTATTCTTTTCTTTTGGTTGCATAAATTTGTAATACTTAAGTGTCTTGGTATGTTTAAGTAGTGTCTAAAATAGAATATCTTAGTCTTTATTCACAGTACTTCTGTATAATGTGTAATGCACTGGACTAACTCTTGTTTACCATTCATGTAACAAAAACCAGCACATTATCTGCACTAAGCTCAAAGAATGTTGCATTTGTCTATAGGCAGCTCTTCAATAAGATAAATGGGAAACTGAATATGGTCTGATGGTAAACAAGGGCTTTTACTGTTCTCTTCAGTGGAACTTTCTTCTTGGTCAAATTTTAACTAGGTAGTATTATATTTATATACAGGGTCTTCTTTTTCTTTACCAATGTATTTTCCTACTCATAGCTGACCAATAAATCCAATATCTGTTTCAAACCTTCTTGAAGTCTAATTCATATTTTAACTTAATTCCTAAAGCTTTTCCTGAAGAGTTGCACATACAGCCAGAGTGAGTGAAGCGTGTTAAGGGTAAAATGGAAGCATGTAAGAAACTTCATAATCCTGGAAAGACTTTCCTGTACTTTCTGTAACTTTCTAGAACTGCAGACCGGAAAGCTACTTGGGTTTGGATTGCGAAGTGAAGACCTGGTTAGTAATGCCTCCAGAGTTTGTGGAAAACCTGTGTCCAAACCTACTCAGATCTCAACCCCATGTCTTCCTACCTGGCCATCTTCTGACCTCCCCAAGTTGGTCACTGAGGTCAGTTGTGCAGTGTAGGGTCCACAGGTTCTCTCTGTGTCCAGTAGACCCCTCTCCTTCCTTCCTCTTCCCACCCGAAAAAGCCCAAAGTAGGCTTAGAGTCTGGCAGTGGGAAGGGATTCAAAGATGCCATTAATTTATCGTAGAAAGGGAACAAAGTGAAGATTTCTTGCATCTTTTTTTTTTTTTTTCCCCTTCAGAAATGAGATTCAGCTAACTCTTATACTTAGTTCATTTTAATACCACCTTCTTTCTTGGGGGGGTTCTGTATCAGAGTGTACGCGTAACAATGCAGAGTCTTATGTTTTGTATGATGTTCCCCGCACTAGCAGCAGAAAACAAAACGTTTGAGCACTCTTGCTGTGTAAAAGCACTGAAGCACACAAGACATCGCACTGGCACCCCTGCCTCTCTTCAGAACTCACGTTTAGTATGTTGGCACTGCTTTACTTTGAAATAAATGGTCTAGTTCACTGCTTCCATGAATACAAGCCCCAGAGCGTTCAGCTTGCTTGTAGTTTTAAAATTTGCTGTCTTGAAGCAGCTGTAAGGCCCCAACAGAGTGATGAGTCCATTCCAGACTTCAGCAATGATTTCTTTTTGGTTCTGTCTCACGGGTGAGCTGTTAATTCCCACCATCACATTTGCAGTCTTGCCACTAGATGGTGCGGGTAACACAGGCTTCATGTGCACAGAGAGAGCAAACATAATTTGAGAGTGCCATCCAGAAAGCAGGGCGTGTAGAATTATTCTTAAGAGTATTTGTGGGAATTCAGGCCCAGGAAGGAACCTTTTCCAGTGGCAGCAGTTGGTTAGGTAACATCCATGCCAATTAAATAATTAGGTTTATAGATCCAACTATCATGATTGGAATGAAAATTACCTACTTGGTCCTCAATCGTAAAATCATTCTAGGGCCTTTGCTTGCTGCATTTCATCTACCTAATGTTGTGTTTTGAGTACAGTTGTTACATGGTTCCAAATTGGAGTTTTTAAGCTCTTAAATAATGTCTGCTAACCAGGCATGTAAGTATTGCGTTAGGGAAACTGTGCCAAAATTAATGGAGAGCCTGGTGTCTTGTCCAGAGAGAGTATATGGAAAACAGCATCTCTCGCTCAAAGACGAAGATGTGAGTTGAGCTTGTGTCCTGTGGTCCTAAGCCAGGTAGGATAAAATTTGTTTTTCTACAACTTGCAGTAAAATAACTACAGCTATTTTAATATAATTGAATACAAAATCACTGGCCAGACTCCTAGTTACTGTTCCTTCATACCCCACCTCCACTGGCTCTTCAGTGATAGCACAAAGTTGGGTTTGTGCCTTATGGGGTGGGAGGGTCCCAAACTGATTCAGGTGACTGCGTGGCATTTCTTTTCTACTGACATGGGTAGAGCAGAGGAGCCTTGAAACATCTGGAATTGAGTCTGGAGAGAGAGAGGGACGGAGGAGAAACTGAGAAGAAGGTAAGTGGAAAGGGCAAGAATATGCAAGGTACATGGGGTGACCTTTTGGGAGAAGCCGTACTTCATTAAAGGTGAGTGTTCTGGTTACTTTCTTGCTTTTCATCTTCCCCTCCTAACCCAGAGGCACTAATTGTTCGCTCTCTAAATGTTCACTTACTCTGTTTGCATGGAAAGCAGTAAAGCTAATTAAGCTATAGGGACCTTTGGTGCATTTGAATATTTTCTTATTCCAAAATAAGCCTGGTATTCTCACAGGTTATCAATTTTTAAAAGATAGGAAGGTATGTTCTGGTTGAACCTTTCCAGTGTGTTAGTGGGCGGTATTCATTCCTTTTAAAAATGCTAAATGCTTATTGTAAAAAATAAACATTACAGAAAATAAAACCATATATATGCTCCTGCTCGGTTTTAATGACCATAAAGGTTTAAGCTTCAGCTAATTGTTCATAGCACACTTTTTTTTTTCCTAGTTAATTAGTTTAGTTTTTCTAGGGTTTTTTTTCTTTTTTTTTTCTAGTTTGTTCTAGTTCAAGGCACAGACTGCTTCCTTCCTATATTCCCTATAATAGGGAATTAACGGCAGTTTCTCCGCTGTGGCTAATGGTATTGATAGCGCTTCAGAGGCTGGATTTATTCATTTTATTTCCCTTCTTCCTTTTCAAAACACAGCATACCAGTTAATAGTCTGCTTTTTGGCCAAGAGGTCTAAGACCTGTTTTACCTGAAGACCTGAACTATGCTATGTGCTGGTTTTGCTGACCCTGGCAGCAAGACACCACCAAGACACAGACTAGATGGGGGAAAACCTACAGATGCACAAGGATTTCTTTTCACTATCTCCTCCCCTCCCACCTCTCCCAGATAAAGCAGCGGGAGAGGAGAGTGTCAGGAATTGCGTGCAAGTTGCTCTCATCCTTCCTGACGCTGTGTCTGGCGCTGGGGTATCCCCCAGGACAGGGCTGTTGCTTCTGACACATCAGTCGTTTGACGAGGCTACACCTTTTTTTCTTGTTCAGGTTGTTCCCTGCAGTTTTCCGGGCTCTGCGGGGATGTGACCAGGCTGCAGTGGCACGCGAGTGCTTCACGGTCGGCGTGGTTGGGTGGCGTTGGCATGCTGCAAACCCGGTTCTTGTTAGTCGGACTCACGGACTCACACAGGTCATGGGGCATACGCTGCCATCCATGGAAGAGCCACTGCTGAAATCTCAGAAACACGAATTACAGGTTGCCATGCAAAGGAAGCGAACGGAGATATTTAATATCTGTCTCGGTTCACACCTCTGAAGATCGAGCTTCCTTTGTGCCGGTGTGGTCGTTAGTTTTCCAGTGAATTATAGCAACTATTGTCAGTGAGAAGTCTAGGGGCATTGCCCAGTGAGAGAGGAGCAAGCCA